ATGGTTTTCGTGTCATCAATTTACAGCAGCCGATTGCAGACAATCATTTTTTGGTAAATTCCGCCCTGCCAGGGGTTGAGGATGAGAATAAACTTCATTTGGATCCGCTTTGTCGGTGCAGAAGTCGATCTCGTCTTTTTCGAAGTCCTGATTAGGTGAACGGATTAGCAGATCCTTCCGATCTGCCCGTCCCTCTAAAATCCACACGGATTGTCTGGAGAGAGTGAGGGTGTGGTTAACTCCGCAGTGATTATTGCTTTGATGCATCCGCAAAACAGAAAGCACTGTTATACAACTCTTCTACAGAGTTGTCTATGTATTCTTTGCACCTCTATAGGGAAGCCGCTTCGCACATGATGATGTTGAGACTCTTCTCTTCGGAGGATGAGTATTGCGATTGTGCAAACCGGAATAGGATAGATGCAGCTTATAGAATCTATCGCACTCCTGCCATGGACGCCAGATGATTGCGATGTCAGGCAGTAAGCGATAAGGCTTTATTGTGACACTGAAGGGGATCTCCGATTATTCATAGTCAACGGCTTTTACTGCCATCTATCGAATGTGGACAGTCGCACTCTCAAATTTGCGTGCAATCTCGTTAGGCGGCAAAGAGCAATGAAGTTATTTTTGGAACGATGGAAGACGGAGACGATTCAAGGCTTTATTGAAGACCGAAATGTATTGGTTCAGGCGCGACTTATATACAGCCGACAATACACAGATTCTCTTCTTCTTCAACGCTGTTTCTCCTCAGCAGCATTTGACAGCATTTGCATTTCAGAAATCGTCCGCTAATATGTAAAATAAGGAACCAGCAATTGAATACTTAGAAGCATTATCTGTTAATATGCAAATGAGGAAGCAAACACTCAGAAGCTGAAAGCATCATATGTTGTTATGCAAATATGCAACCCATCGATCGCCATTCTGTAGAAGTTACAGAAACTCCCACGGGCAAATAGAAATAGAATAGAATTTGGTATTTTTTAGGATGAGGAAGAGTTGTCGGGAACATGAAATGACACATGCGCGAGACAAGAGCTAAGAGACATAGTACCACTGTAGAAAAATCATCTTCCAGGTTTTGAGACTCAGAAAAAATGGCTCAACGTTTTGCCATGCGTAAGATACAAGTTGTGAAGCACTGTCAAGGATTTTTCCCAGAGGATTTGGGTTTGCGAGAGGAAGGTTCTGATCGGCCAGTTCTCCGAGACCAGTTTCCGTCGAGTCGTCATTGCCTTTTGAAAATTGCCTGAAGAGGGAGAATATTTGATTGTATGACGACCTTCTTCATCGCATGGCGGCAGATGCGCTAGTTCCGTGTAGAGAACATGTTTCATCATCGAATACGGTTCTGAGAATTTTCCTAGCTATGTGGTAATTTTCCTCAGTCATAGATAGGCCTTATGGATTGCAGCGCTTTCCTGCGCAAGCACGACTTCAATAGGGAGAAATTTGTCTTGCTATCCAACCAACCAAAGTATCTGATGGAGATCTGAATTCAGGGTATGTAACAATTTCCGTCAAACGTGGGAAGTTCCAATTTGGTAAGAATGAAAGCGTCAACGAATTTCAGAAGAGTAGAATCCGTCACAGCGATTGGATGACGGTGATACGAGTTTGCAACC